GTGAAAATTGTGGCAGGTATTATGGCTTTGTGTGCTACCAGCTCTTATTATGATATCACTGAGATTGCAACTCGGATTCTCCCAAATGTTGTTATTCTTACCATTGATCCGGATAAGTAAGTATGCAGCAGATGATTAGTATATTATTTATCTATCTGGTTTTTTTTTAAAAGCATACTTTACTTTAAGTGATTATTAAGTGTGTTTTCTTGTTCTCTGACATGCTAACAGTCTGTTCATATTGCTACCTTATAAAATCTTCTCTTGATCTGGTTAATTCTTACAATTTAAAATTTAAATAGGACGATGTCATTGTTTATAGCAGAAAGTAAGCACTGTGTTTCTGAAAGAAACTGCATCCCCGTGGTTTTGAAGTCACACTTAACTACTCTGAGGTTCTCCTGCCTCTTGTCCATGGATTTTTAAAAGGGATAAGTTATTGTTCTAGGCATTTGCCGTATTAAAAAAAATTGAAATAATTTATGTAGTTATAACAGAATCTTGTAAGATTCTATTTCTGGTCACAAAGGTATTATAAGCTCGTCTGCTTATTAATTTTAGCATTCATAAATATCTTTGGACGTTTCTTCAGTATGTTGTTCTGAATAATTGTATATTCCTTTAACTTTTTTGAATATTAAGTAATGATATATCTATATAGATTTTAACACTAGGAAATAGATGATAATGTTTTCAAAATATTTTCTTTTTCTTTTTGTAAATATGTTGGTGCCTTTTGTTGATGAGAGGACAAGTGAATATATTGGAATGCTAAGGAGATAATCTTAAGAAAATTTTCCTTTCCTTCCCGTTGCCTTCCCTATCGTTAGGATGATTGGAAGCCAATTACAGTGTCGAGTCATTACTTGGGTGAATGCCTGTGTGTCGTGTGATTGAAGTAGACTTTTTAGACAAGTTTACTACATCACTTCTACAACACTTGGATCTGCATACAATGCACTCAGAGTGGGATGGGATGAATTGCGCACCAAATATTGGTGTATCCCCAAAAATTTTGTAGCTAAAGCTTAAGGGGGAATACTTTAAAAAAAAAAAAAAAAAAAAAAAAAGGAAACGCTTAAGGAGAAAAGAAAATTTTTGATTACATTTTGTACTGTCCTAGTCCTACTTTATTAATGGAATCCGTCTAACGGGAATTATACCTTTTTCCCCTTTGGTGCAGTGATGTTCGATCAAAGGCATTTCAAGCAGTTGATCAATTTTTACAAATAGTGAAGCAATCCTATGAAAAGGTGTGTTGGAATTCTTAACTCATTTGTTTCTGTTTCTCATCGCATGTAGGTATATCAGAAGCAATTTTTGCTACTGCATCAATGACCTTAAAGCTTATGGCATACACTTCTTTTCTTTTGATGTTGTTGGCTACCTTGTGTATATGACGTTTGCAAATTTCTCATTGGGTTCTCATTTTTCTGTTCACATGCACATATGATGCAACATTTGGTGTGTGAAGTTGACCTTGCTACATTTTTGTGTTCCATCATAATTTCATCACTTGGTACCGTTCATCATAATTTCATTACTTGGTACTGTTAGCCATCGTCTTGTGCGATTTTCATGGTGCTTGTTTGTATCAGTGAATAAATATTGTTTGCAACGGCAAAACCAGTATGTATAATAGCAGAATCTTTAGAGGATAAGGCTCAGAGGAAGTTTCAGAAACCTGATGTTCCATATCTTCGTGTTTGTCAATACTGTGTCATGTTGATAATCTGCTAATTTCATTGTTCTTTTGTGGTCCATGTAGACTGATTCAGGAGATACTGCCGGTGTTGGAATATCAGCACTACCAGGAAATGCTAGTTTACTGGGGTGAGTTGCTTAGGACTTTTACTTTTCAACATATTATGATTACAATTAGGTTATTGGGATTCAACCAAATCATGCTGCGTAGAATGTACAGGGTTCTTTTCTGAGTGCTTAGTCTTAAATGTATATTCATGCAGATGGGCAATGAGCTCCTTGACTCTCAAGGGTAAACCTTCTGAACAAGCTCCACTTGCTCCTGTGAATACCAGTGCATCTCTTACTAAAACAACTTCTAATGCAAGCTCAGGTACACGTATTGATTACTTGGTTTCATTAAATGTGTTTAGCTTGTTGGAGAATCAACAACCATGCCAAGCAGAGATATTAGTTGGATTAAATGTTGAATGCGGGAGATCCAATAAGAAAAAGAGGGGGTTTGGGTGGGGGGGAGATGGGATTGTGTGCGTTTGTTGGTTTCCACATCTATTTTGTTCCTACCTCCACCACATAAGAGGGAACAATTTCTTATTAGAAAAAATGGATAGACAGGCCAATGATACTTTCTTGGGTTCCACTTCTTACATTGTTATTCACTTGTAATCCTAGTGATGGATACTCCAAGCACAGTGCTGGCTCACGTAAGTTCAACAACAGATTTTGCCGACCACCATATACCTGAGTCCCCAACGTCTACTGATGGCTGGGGAGAACTTGAAAATGGAATTCACGAGGAGAATGAAAGTGACAAGGATGGGTGGGATGATGTTGAACCCCTGGAAGAGCCAAAACCGTCTCCTGTTCTTGCGAACATTCAAGCAGCTCAAAAGCGGCCGGTGTCACAACATGTTTCGCAGCCTAAACAAGGTAATTGAACTTGTGTATCAAGAATTGCAGTTTTTTTTAGCTTCTGCTGTTATGCATTGATGTCTGAATGAATAGAAAATATTCCAGAAACGTATAAAAGTTACTGGTTATAATAAAATGAGTAAAAATGCGTAATACTGGTTTGAGTTTCAAGTGTATCTAAACCGACAATAATTGTCTTGTGGTGGATAAATCAGATATCTTTTATAACAATGAAATATTTGCTTATCATATTGCATGCCTCCACAATGGCCTGTAAAGTGTCAACATAGGTAGAAGCTTAACAATGCTTTATCTTAGTTCACCTAAGTTTAAAAGTGGTCAGTCTTTGCGGCGTTAGTTAACTGGAAGGTGTTTGTGTTATTCTGTAGCAACGAGTTTGAGACCGAAAAACACAGCCAAGGCTGTCAAAAATGAAGATAATGATTTGTGGGGATCCATTGCCGCCCCTGCACCAAAAACAGTTTCAAAACCTTTGAATGTGAAAGCAAGTGCAGCAGTTGATGATGATGATCCATGGGCTGCGATTGCCGCTCCCCCACCCTCTACCAAGGCAAAGCCTCTATCATTAGCCAAAGGCCGAGGAGCCAAAGCAGCTGCTCCAAAATTGGGCGCACAGAGGATAAACCGAACATCTTCGTCGGGGGTGTAAATTACTCCAAACAAGGAGAGAAGATTTTGGTGGCTGGTGTTCATGTATTCATGGGTGCCAACAGGAATTGCGTATGAACTTTGTCCAACTCTTATGAATTGATTTGTAATGATATTCACTTGATTGTTTTGGTTTTACAGTTTACACAAGACACAAAAGAAGCTGCCGTTTTGTTTAGGTGATATATATACATATGATATAGGATGGACATGGACGTGCACTACTAGTCTACTACTACTAGTAGGGGAAGTTAAACTAAAACTGCCTATCAATTTTTGGGCATGTAAAGTAAATTTGTGAGATGTAATTTGTCAAATTCTTCTTTTAGCCAAAATGCACAGGGGAAGTTATCTACCCATGACAGCATTTTCCTGGCTCTTATCTTTTGACAATTTCTATATTTTTTCCGTGGGAAATACTTAGGGCCATGCCCATAACTATGGTCCTGAAATTTCTGGGCTATTGGGGCGCAACTTGGCCCAAAACGTTTTACATGCCGCGTGCTCTTATTGTTTTTTAATGTTTTAGTGCGTTCAAACGTCAGAGTATGTATACGTGTATCTGGATAATGGTTGTTTGCCAAAGAAAGAAAAAGTATGTATACATGTACCAGATTTTGAACTTTTAATTTTCTTCGGAAAACCTTCATCTACATTTTGAACTTTTGTTGTCTAAAATTGACCCCAAGGGGGCGGGCCAGGACCAAAGATGTCCTTCGCTCTGCTTTATATAGCGCCGGCGCCGCAATTATGATTTGCAAAATTGAGAGAAAGGAGTCACATTCAGTCACAATTAAAATTCTAACTTTCATGTTGTTTTCTTGTGCCCCTTCCTTCTGTTTTGGTTTTTGGTAAAATGCCCTGATGTGTCACGTTTTCAGGCTTGGCAACTTGCACAATTTGGGCGGACGGACTAATTTAGAAAATAAAATAAAATTGTGTGACCGTAACATCTCGACTTGGTTGTTACCGACTCTTCATATTCGTTGTCTTTCATTCTGCGTTTTACTAATTAGTAAAACGCACATGGTATTAGTAATATGGTGAATGCCGATCTCCCCCTACAAGTAAATAAGATCCGAATCAGATAGAGGGTAGAGCAGATGGGAAAAACAGGAAAGAAAGAAAGTAATAATATTTTGTAATATGCGATTGTGAAGTTGTGAAAAAAGGGAAAGTTGGGTGATTTTTTACCATCCAAGGAAGCTTTGATTGCGGATTAGAGATATTTTTCCAATAATACTAAATTAAACCAAAAGTAGGAACAAGTGTGCCTCCGAATCGCATGGTTATATTGGATAGGCTCCTCTTTGACTCTTTCGTTTTGATGTGTTGTGTTGTTTGCCTCAGTCTCCCTTCCCTTCCCTTCCCTTGACAACTGCAAGTCTGCAAGTGCAAATAAAGGCCACCAAAAGATTGAAAGGAAACTTTGATCACTTTTCCATCAAATACAAGGAAAAAAAAGGTGATGCCTGTTGCATCATTAATCTCAAATACCCAATTCCTCCCTTTCCTTTGTCACTATTTTTTTCGATTTATATTTTTGTTTTGCTCTGAGACTGCACATAGTTGTCTCATATCCCGACATCATACAATACATATGCTGATTTCGTTTGTTTGGATAAAAAGGACTAGAAATAATCGGAAAACCCCGATTTCTTTTCTCCCACTCTCTCCCTCTCTTGATGGTGGTGGTTTTATTATGTGTGAGATGAGATATTAATGGGAATGGGAATTGTAGGTGTGTGAAATTGCAAGTTGAGTTGGAGAGTTGGGAGAGTTGAGATCGTATGTATGTATGTATGTATGTATGTATATTTCAATCCCAGCTGTGGATGGATGTGCAAAGGTAGGTAGTAGCTGTTGGGTGATGAGACCAAGCGGAGTGGAGTGGAGTGGACCATCCTCAGACTGATGGATTCCTCCTTCTACAGTCGCCTCTCTAGATATTTCGATTCAGGATAATCCATCCACATCATCCATTCATGCATTCTTTTAATTCCTTGCTTTGTAAATTCCAACTTCTTTTCGGGGCTTTTTCTCAAACAGCCCTCCCTTTTTGTTTTCTTTCGATAGATGGTTTTAACCATTATTTTATTTCTGTTTTGGGTTCATCTAAATTTCTGGTCTGGATGCTTTCTCTCTCTCCCAGTTTATTTGCTGTTATCAGGCTGCTAGCCTGCTTCTATTTCTCTTAGTGTTTGTAAATGTGTATGCTGATGTAAACTCTGCAGTAAAATATGCAATCATAGTAAATTCCCCTTACCTTCTTTTGTCAATCTTCACTTTTTGGTAAAATACTGACAAATACGTACACGCACATGCACACGCACAGAGGAGGGGAGGAGAGAGAAGGGGAGAACAAGAGGTGAAACAAGCAAGGTGGCTCGCGTACTCAAGGGTTGGCTTTTGCTTTCCTAGAAGTACAATCTTTCTTGTGACACTACAGCTTTGCAAAGTTAACTCATTTGCTTGTTGCTTTAAACTGTCTCTCTCGCTCTCTCTCATTAGGTTTTACAGCATTTTGCTGGTTACTATTATCGCTATTGTGAGTGGAACAATGATTGGGAAAAAAAGGATGTACAGGTGCACTTACATTGAGTTTTTTATCTTTTTTTTATTTTTTGTTTAGTTTGGGAATGGATTCACGGCGGGTAAGGTTTTATTTTATTTTCGTTGAATTTTGAAATTTGAATTCTTGTCCTAATTTCCCAATTTTGAATTCTGGATATGATTAGGGATTGGGGAAGGAGTGATGATATGGATTATGGTGGTTTTATTGTTTGCTTAAATAGAGGGATAAGAATGCTGTGAAAATTGAGTTTGAAAAGAGTGGGTCGCTTGAGAATAGCATATAACTCCTTGTGGGCCTGCGCTGTTAAAACTGTTGATATCCCTATCAGTGGTGGTGGGGATGGGGCTGCTGCTCAGAAACTGGGATTTTTGCTTTCTTACATTTCAAAGACTTGAAGGTTTTTTCCTCTCTGTTTGGTTATTTCGTGGTCTGTTTCATATTTCACAGAGTAAAACCCTAATTACCATTCCACTACTAAATTTACGATCGGAATTAGTTATATTCCTTTTTTTTTTTTTTTTTGGTTAAACTGCCATTTATTGCACTTTGATATTATGGTTTTCAGAGGTTTCTCATGCTCCAACTGAAGTTTGTTGCCTTTTTGCTCATCGATAGGTCACCAACTCAGAAAACTCCAATTCTTGAATTGTGGAGCAAATCGCCATTGAAATCTTAACTGAGTTTCTCTTGCTTAGCGTCTTACGCTCCGTTTCCTGTAATTTAGCCCGCCATCAAAGAAGTTGTTAGCTGTAAGTTGTAACCAACTATTGAAATCATTTAGATCCAATTCCCAAGAACAATTGTAGATTCTTGATAGTCTGAGACTCGGTGACTGGTGCAGCATAAATTGTGGAGGAGGTTGCTATATTTATTCTACTCTTCTTCCAGTGTGAAATATTTGGATAGTGGAGTCAAACAGAGATTAGACAGATGACTGTGGAGGAAGTGGTCAGTAGCTCCTTATGGACTCGAGAGCAGGATAAGTCATTTGAGAATGCCCTTGCAACTTATCCTGAGGATTCTTCAGATCGGTGGGAGAAAATTGTAGCTGATGTACATGGGAAAACCCTAGAGGAGATAAAACATCATTATGACCTCTTACTTGAGGATTTAACCCAGATCGAAGCTGGTGTTGTGCCGCTGCCTTGCTACAATTCTTCAGAGGGTTCAACTAGCCATGCCAGTGATGAAGGAACCAATAAGAAAGGTGGACATTCTGGAAACTATAGCAGTGAATCTAATCAGGGAAGTAAGGCTTCAAGGGCAGATCAGGAACGCCGAAAGGGGATTGCTTGGACAGAGGATGAGCACAGGTTAGTATTTTATTGTTGATTTAATGATTTTCTTGCCCGATGGGTGACATTTGTAGGAGTATCTGAATCAAGCTAAAGATTGGTTATTCTTTTCAAGTCCTCTATTTTATCTTTATTATCGATGATAAATTTTATCAGGAGTTTTCTTTCCAATAGTAAGTTTTCTGAAGTTGCTTTAGGCCCTAAGGTTTAGGGTGAGGATAGTTGGCTAAACTATATCGAGCTTTACCTTTTGAAGAACTTCCATATCCAGAATATTCCTTTTTCATTATTTGTATTAGTATCAAGCTCATAGCCCATAGGTTATAATTTTTTGCAATATTCTTGAATGATATTGGCATAAATAAAGAAAACATGGTATTTTCGTATTTAAACACATGCCTAACATGGCAGCTGACTTCTCCTCATTTAACTTTTCTATATTGATGTGCAATTTGGTTAGGCTTCATTTGGTTTTTTTCTATATTTCGTATGAAAGACTTGTTAAGAATTTATGGATATGTTTATCACCGGAGTTGCCCTTGTTGACTGTTAGTTAAGTCTGAAAACATGAAAATCTGGATAACAAAGAAAACGGCATTGTAGTAGAAACCATCTAAAATGAGAGCCTTTTAGTTTTGTATCCAGGCTCCTTTAATTGTAATTTTCTTGGGATTTGGTGTTCATGGATGGAACACCCTACTGTAATATAATGATTTTGGTATATGCCTTACCTCAGCTATTTGCATATTGCGCTACAGCATTGGGCTAAGAAACCGGTGTTTCTGGCACGAAGTGACTGGCAACTGCAACACCTTCTTTACTCCAATTGTGATTAGTTCTTAATTGTTTTAGTAGAAATATGTGCTCTGTAGATTTAGATGTGAACAGTAATTGTTATCATGAAAACTGGTTTATTTATGGAAGTATAGAACTAAGGTATGTAGCTATGCAGATACCGTTTCAATAGGAAAATGGCTTGAAATGACAAGAGACATGAAATAGCTCTGTCCTGTCACCATGAAACAACTAGGAAGGCCCCTAATCAACAATCCCATGGTAAAAACTTGTTTCTAGAGGCCGCACTTTTTGATATAGAAACCAGGTTCTATGGAATTTTATAGGGGAAATGGCCTGTTATATTGCTGTTAAGTGGTGCCAACTGAAACGTTTGTGTGTATTTGATAATCTGCATATAGTACTTATAGAGGTGGCATTTCAGCTGAGAAAGATGGAAAGGATTGTGGGAGCTTAAATGTAAGGGTTTTAAGGAAACATAAAACATCTGTAACAAAAAAGTGAGATCATATTTCGTTCATAGTCATTTCTTATATTTACAACTGAAATCAGCTGACCCCATTTTTGTGGCCTGATAGAGCCGTGTGTGGTATGAATCAAGTTCTTGGTGTTCGGTCTGCCATTTATTATCTCTGTAAAAGAATTTGTCCAACAGTGTTCGCTTGACTTAAATACGTCATATTCTGTTTTCTAGTATGTGTGATGATTTTTTTTGTGTCTCAATTCTCTGAGTAGGAATTTTGGTAGTATTCTTCTTGTGTCTGGGTTCTTATTATAGGTTAAATATTGATCACTTACTAATTTTTTGGTGAGGGCTTTCTGCAATTTTGTGAGCCTCCAACACAGAGAATCTCAAGTTGATTCCACATCCGAAAACCATATTGTCCCTATGGTGTTCCATTTATTATATATAGTTCCAACTTTTCTGTGTTTAGAAGTTTGGTGGCTGTTGAATTCACTGCTTATCTTAAGGTGTGTATGGTCCTTTTACACGTCCTAGGTACTGTCATCTTAGACCAACCACGTAATGTCTTCGGACTATTTTCTTCTCTGAGTTTTTCAATATAATGATACATGTTTTTTTCTGTTTTTGTTCCGTGACAGGCTATTTCTTCTTGGCTTGGAAAAATATGGGAAAGGTGACTGGCGAAGTATATCTCGGAACTTTGTGGTAACAAGAACTCCTACGCAAGTGGCAAGCCACGCACAAAAGTATTTTATACGCTTGAATTCAATGAACAAGGACAGGAGGCGATCAAGCATTCATGACATCACCAGTGTCAACAATGGAGAAATTTCAGCAGCTCAAGGGCCGATCACTGGTCAGGCAAATGGTGCCGCAGTAGGTTCCTCTGGCAAGTCCCCCAAACAATCTCCTGCTGGGCCCCCAGGGGTTGGCATGTACGGTGCACCGAGTATAGGGCAGCCAATTGGAGGACCCCTTGTCTCAGCTGTTGGCACACCTGTGAATCTCCCTGCTCCCCCGCACATGACATATGGCGTTAGAGCCCCGGTACCTGGAGGAGTTGTTCCTGGTGCACCAATGAGCATGGTTCCGATGACATATCCAATGCCTCATAGTTCGCATAGGTAATGTGATATAGAGCAGCAGCAGCTTCAGGAATCAAAATCATCTAGTGTACAAAGAGGAGGAGAAAACTTATAGCTTGTGCTCTTGGTTGGGGTTAATTAGGATCATAGTGCTCCGAGCCTGAATGTTTTACTTATTGGCAAAGCACAAGTGCAAGTGGTAGGTGGATGATCTGTCGTTGCTTGTCTATTCTTGTTGGAATAAGCCATTTATTTGATTGGGTGGGGGGCGAAGAATGGCATGAATCTGTACAGGCAAATTCTGAAACAGATGATGGCATGGAAGCAAAGCAATATTTCTTTAGTGGCGATTACAAGTCCAGTCTACTAGTGTAGCATTCAAGGCAGTGACCCTTTTTACATGTTATACTAGCATTGTCTCTGCTATAAAAATTTATTTATGTAAAATCTTGTTTTCGGACTTGTTAGTGATTGCCCAAAGTTTGTGAATTGCGAGTTACATTGATGTGAAAATATGTTGGAATTTTATTTTTTCAACAATTTCTTATATTTCTGACTGATCCATCCGAGTGTTCATGACCATTTGATCTAACGAGAGCCGGTCTCCACTCCACTTTGTTGAAAGAGATTCTGTGTTTAAATGGTCTAAACCGCGGTCTGCCGGTTAGTCCTAAATTCAAATACGGTGAATGAGAGTGAGTTCAGAAAGTATTAGTGTCAAGGGCTAGAAAAGCCTTTAAAACAAGCACGAATGAGTTCAAGTTTTAAGCTTGGATCGCACTTTTTGTCTTGGAGGCAATGTCTGCAACACCAACACCACATTCCTCCTGGCACCTACCCTCAATCATAAAACCCAGCAGGCACTCTATCTCTATCACCACCAAATGTTCCATAAACCCTAGTTCCCCAAATCCCCTGGAATCGGAATCAAAAGCCCTGTGGACCGTCTCGGATATCGCTGCCGCTGTCAACGGGAGGATCGTAAAATGGGGTCCTCCTGGAACCATTTCTACTGACACCAGAACCCTGCAACCTAAACAGTGGTTCTTCGCCATTGCCGGCCCAAACTTCGATGCCCACGATTTCGTCACCCCGGAGTTGTCCCGCAGAGGCTGTGCCGGAGTTATCGGCAACCGCGTCTGCGAGAATTGGGACAGAGGCTTTGTTGAATGCCACGGTAACACTGTCGTTTCGTTGAAGAAGATGGCTAGTTATGCAAGGAACAGGTTTCACGGTGAAGTGGTGGGAGTGACTGGGACCGTGGGAAAGACTAGCACAAAGGCCATGATAGCTTTGGCTCTGGAGAGTTCAACAGGTTTGGTTCATCAAAGTCATGGGAATTGGAACAATGAAATTGGGGTTGCTCTGTCGTTGATTGGGATGCCGAGGAATGCTGGGGTTGTGGTTTTGGAGATGGGAATGAGCGGGAAGGGGGAGATTTTAGAGCTTGCGAGGACGGCTAGGCCGACTGTAAGGCTCATTCTAAATGTGGGGGCTTCGCATTTTTGCAACTTTTCGAGTTTGGAAGAAATTGCAATTGCCAAAGGGGAAATTTTGGCGGAAGCAAAGCCCGGGGACGTCTGTGTTTTGAATGCTGACGATCCACTTGTCATGAGCCTCCCCGTGCCATATGGTGTCAAAAAGGTCTTTCTGCTCTCCCTGGTCTGGGCGCTTCTTATTTTTTCTGTATAAAATGTAAAATGTGAATGCACCAATATACCAAAACAACACATCTTTGATCTTTCCCTTGTCCTGATTTTAGTTTCTTTACAATACAAAATTGGATGATTTGGAAAGCAGGGCAATGAAACTCATACGAGAGTAGATACTCGATCTGCTAGTATTTTGCACCAGGTTATAGGTGAAGTCAGTTTGTTGTTTAATTTCTTGCCATAAACAGGTGCTGTTTGGTCGGAGACGCACAGTGGAGTGCCATGTTCGGTTGGTTGTATCAGAAAGCACAAACAGAGGTCTTGGAGTTAGAGTTGTCTTACAGAATCACCAAGAGATGTAAGCCCCTCCCCTTCCTCATACACATTCCTTGTCTGAGTTAAACAACATTGTTTTCGTTGCTAGCTACTGTTTTTCGTTTTGATAAGCCTAAGTGCTCCCGCTCACGCTCTTCACTGAAATGGCAGTTTCGTTTGTTTTCAGGGTAGAGTTTGTGATACCTAGTCCAGGCGTCCATTTGGGTGTCAATGCATGTGCGGCAGCAGCAGTAGCGACTCTTTTAGGAGTATCTCTTTCTCAAATTGGAGTTCGCCTGTCAGCCTTTTCTCCGGTTCACATGAGGTTGGAGCTTGAAATTGCTAGAAATGGAATCAAGATAGTGAATGATGCTTACAATGCAAACCCTGTGAGCACCAAGGCTGCCATTGACGTGCTTGAGACTATTGATTGCAGAGGCAAAAGAATCGCCATACTCGGCGACATGTTAGAACTTGGTGGAATTGAGATGGAGTCACACGAGATGATTTTAAAGCAGTGTCGTAGTGCTCGTATTGATTTAGTTGGCCTCGTGGGGGAGAGGTTTTGTGCAGCAGCTGCGAGTATGAAGTCGCTTGACGAGATGAACATCGTATATGCTATTGACTCGGAAATTTTAGTACAGGAAATTGTGAAGATGGTTAATTGTAATGATGTTGTGTTGGTGAAGGGTAGTCGAGGATTGCAAATGGAAAAAGTTGTGAATGCAATTAAATTAATGGAATCAAACAACCCTATTTAATGACTTTCTCATAAATAGAGAAATAGAAATGCTGCTGAGTCTGATTCAAAAGTGCTTAAAATTTGAGCTTAATTTTGTGTTCTCAACTAAAGTTGATAATTTATTTAGTTGATGATGTCTTTTGTCACCCCAAGCGTCATAAAATCATGTAGAAAAGTTGGAAGTATGACTAAGCCACCTTTGATTCTGCGATCCCTTGCGCATTGAAGCACGAGGCATGTTAGTGATTATAAAACTCTTTTGGCCAAACTATGTTTAGAGTGACTTTCGAAATGACTAAAGCAATTTCAACTTCCATCACATTAGCTATACTCAATAGAGAATTAGACGTTCAAACAAACAAAAGACATCAATTGATGTGCAATATGATGAACTTAGGCCTTCCACAGTAATTGAGTGTGATACCTAGAGTGTCGTATGTATATTGGGACTAAGGTGGTCATAAGACCACTCAAAGTCTGAAAAATATACATGTGGAGTTCTTCCGAGGTCCCTTTTTGGCCCACTAAGTATTTAATGTAATGCTTGCTAGATATCTCGGCAGCAGTCTGCAGTTTGCGTCGAGAGCACTTGACAAATTATTTCGATAACACTCATCAGATTGCTTCGATATATGTTAACATGTGGGCAACATGGTTCAATTGACAATAACAAACCCACCAAGTGCTCGACGAATTGCTTCGGTGAATAAACTGTATTTTTTTGCATGCTTCGCGCTCTGTTTTTATAAAAAAACTTAGACCCTTAACATTGAGATCGCCATTGCTCTAATTTTGGATCCGCCACTGAATACCTATATATAGGAACCATACAGTTTGAGTTTGATAACTATAACACTCCTACACTAGTGTGAGTCTAATAGATTGATATTACACTCAAATTCTTTAGTCCACTATAAGAGCATAATCTATTTTATATGAGTTTAGTATATTAGTTTGGGAGTAACCAATTGTCTCTCTGGCCACAGAGACAATCTTTTGCTTACAGGGGATGGACCATTTGGATTTCGAAAACAAACCTCCCTCACCACCTTTCCTCCGATATCCTTGCCTACCGAGTGACTCGGCTTGGCTTAGCTGAGCTAGCACTACCTTTTTCTCCCTTTTATTTTATTTAACCCATTTATTTTGCTGGGAATTGACCAATGAATTAGAAAGCTTCGATTCAAAGATATAAAAAAAGGTGTCTTTTAATTAGATTAAAAGGAAAGGAACGTCAAATTGGCCATGATGGTGACGATTCATCAAAATCTGTCCAGATAAGCACTTGCACAGTTGCACTTGGCCTGTCGACGGAGATGTGACACGACCCGATCAGCTGGGCCTGAGTCCGAGTGACATGGCTGGCTAAGACTTTGCTCTTTTGACCAATGTTAAACGCTTCACTTAGATATATGTGGACTTAATATGGAATACGTGCAAGGGGGATGGTCCTCTTTGCTTCTCTCACCTTTTTCTTGCAACTGCAATTTTTATGTGTTCCTTGGGATTGGCATGAGAACAATGTAAGATAACTCATACTCTAACAAACAACACACATACACACTGAGGACAGGCTGATGAATTACTTGTCCAACATGTCTCCTAGTCTGAGTCCTATACCATGTGATTCGGGTGATGTACAAATTTGGTCAGGAATAGTCAAATACCTGTTCCCTCCTTTTCGTCATCTTATCTTAATTAGTATATTAGTAAGAGGAAAGGAGAGGAGAGGAGAGAGGGTGGGTGGGAGGGGTGGCAAATGGCAATGGCATCAGAAAGCTAAAGGTCCAGCTCAAAAGTTTTCATTGACACATCTGAATTCCTCTTTTCCAAATACAGTTGGTTTTGGTTACAATATTATTATTATTATTATATTTGAGCAAAGTTAATTAAGTAAGACGATACTTGTTCAATTAAATCTAATCTTAATTTATAATGATTGAAAAGTTAGCATAATTCCCCATTAATCAGGAAAAAATCAAGATATATACTCTCCTTCTCTTCTTTTTTTATCTCGATCCTTTGTCTTTTCCTGTTTGTTGTAATGCTTGGGCAGGGCTGATTTGGAAAATACAGCAAAAGATATGTAACAACTCAGACAAACAAGGTGGACGAATACACCTTTGGAGATGGAAATGGGGGATATGCATGCAAAACCTTACTTTCGAGTTATTTGTTTGCACAACACAACATATAAACCTTATTGCTAAAATGTCTATTTCTTAAAGCAAAACTACCGATCCAAGATAACATATATGCCATGTCATTTTCTTTTGAAAATGAAAAGACGACATTTTTATCTTTAAAAAAGAGCCCGTGTAGTAGTAGTAGCAATGCCTTTATTCTCACTGATGAGCCATACATGACTCATGCAACCAAAAGTTAGATTCACCCCCACCCGCCTATTACTATCTTCCATCCCTTTATATACATAACATAACGCTCACACAACCACAATAATCACCAATTAAGCATCCATCCATCTCCTCATCACTTGTTCTTCTTCTTCTTCTTCTTCTTCTTCTAATTAACTTGCAGCTAATCCTAGTAGATACCTACTGATTATAATCAAATATGAAGGCCTCACTTCAAGGACAAGTTCTTGGAATTCCAATGAACTCGGCAGCAGCCGCCGCAGCTGCGTATTCGTTGAAGAGTGCAGATCATACTGCTGCTATCCAATATCATCATAATATTCCAGCAGCGGCTCCTAATGATCGTGAAATCACTACTGGATCTTCAAAGCTCATCGGACAAAGCAGAGTGCATTCAGTGCTTAACAGGATGAACAAGCTTACCAAGAAGGCTGACAGTTTTGCCCATGGAGTCAAAGAACACGGTAAGCAGCTCGCTGTGCATATATACTAATTCAGAAATTAAGACAAGTTCGAGTTACATAATAATTTACTTAATTTGATTCAATTGTGCAGTGAGACTGGGGTCCAAGATCACAGAGACAGTGAAGTGGAAGCTGAGGCTGGGGGCTAAAATTATGAAAGTAGGAGGGACGTTGGAGAAGGTGTTTAAGCATGCATTCAGCGTCAACGCAGGAGAGAGGCTGCTCAAGGCATCCCAGTGTTATCTGTCAACCACGGCGGGTCCTATGGCAGGCCTCCTCTTCATCTCGACGGACAAGATTGCGTTTTGCAGCGAGAGATCGATCAAACTGCCATCGTCAGATTCAGAGGGACACCAGCTGGTAAGAAGAGTCCACTACAAGGTGGTGATCCCAGTGAACAAGATCAACAGGGTCAACCAGAGCGAGAACGTGAAGAAGCCGTCGCAAAAGTACGTAGAAATAGTTACTGTGGATGACTTTGACTTCTGGTTTATGGGGTTCTTGAATTACCAGAAAACTTTGAAATATCTCCAGCAGGCTATTAATATTCCATCTCAAGCTTAATTAACCAAGTACATGTGATCAAGTTGTAAGTAATTATGCACATTAAGCTAGGAGTACTGGAAGACGAGGAGGAGGAGCTCAATACCATTAATTTACGGACAATGCGTAAATATTTCTTTTTTATTAATGAGAAAATTCTCTTTTCTTTGAAAACCACGTGGCTCTTCATGTTATTTACAATCACCGGTTTCGCAATGCACAATTAGTAATTCTTAAGCATAACTCGCACTCTCTTTACTGAAAGTCCGTAGTAACACAACATGATCACACATCCTAATTTGTATATAATTTGTATTTACCTGCTTGACAACAAGTAACATGAGTTTCATATGGCTTATAAATTCAGACTAAGTAGTAACAAGTGACCACATAATTTATTCCACTCACGATGTACATGATTTTAATATTCTGACTTCCGACTGAGGAAGGAAGGAATTAAACACACAACACAACAAACCAGCAAACCAGCAAACCAGCATTTCATTTATCCAGTACGGAGAAGCGAGCAGAGGCTAGCTCAAAACCAGCCTCACCAGTCATCACTCAAGCTTTCCAACAGATTAAGTAAACTCCCCCTCACAAATTTTGACCTGCTGAGGCTGACCGTGTCCGCCAGCTCACTCACAAAGTAACACCTCAGGCTCAGCTAAACTCTCCCCCTCACAAATTTTGACCTGCTGAGGCTGACCGTGTCCGCCAGCTCACTCACAAAGTAACACCTCAGGCTCAGCTAAACTCCCTGTGAAGTTCACTTTACAACGTTCAGGAAACCGCAATCCCCCTTCTTCACAACCTGCCTTTGTAATGTGTGGGCACGACCTTACATCCAGATATTCCAAAGTCTCACATTTGTCCAAAACCATGGCTATACCTGCCACCGTTACTTTTGGGCAATTACTCACCTTTAAAAACTTCAAACTCAACTCAATGTCACCTCCACCATTTAAACCCTGAAAGGCGACATCTGTCACCTCCTCACAGCACCCAATGTTGAGAACCTCCAGGTTTCTGCACTGAGCAAGGATACAGCACAACGAAGAGTCTGAGATATTTAAACACCAATCCATCCGTAGGTTCTTGAGATTACTCTTACAAGAAACAGCCAGCAATTTTATAGATGCATCTGAAATGTCCCGGCAGCCACCAATGACTAGAGTTTCAAGATTTTTGCAGAATCTGGCCAACGACAATATAGACTCATCACTGATTTTGTAGCAATCCAACAACTTCAGCGTCTTCAGAGAAGATGAGCATGCCATGGAGACACTGGAAACTCCACTATCTCCAATATTGCTGCATTTGTTGATATCTAAAACTTTGATCTGTTGGCATCCATTTACAAGATCAGTAAGTCCAGCGTCAGTTATGTTGGTGCAACCTTGGAGCCCCAACTCTTCTAAATGGTAACAATTCTTTGAAAGGGCTCGCAATAACCCATCAGTAACAAATCTGCAGCCAGCAAGATAAAGGCCCCGAAGGTCTGCGCAGCCCTGGGCAACAGCTGATAATCCTTTGTCCGTTAACTTTCTACAATATGACACATCTAGGGACTGTAGTGATGGAAGACCAGAGCCAATGAAAACGACACCGGCATCTGAAATTCCTGTAAAAGAAAGAAATAAGTGATACATGAATCAAGTCTATTGTGTTCAATACAAAAGACAATGAGCGCACACATTTCAAAAAGTTTTTCTGATTTCCACTGTGCAGTCTAATAAGAATCTCACAGTAAGCAGTATGCAGATGGAAAATATGCGCCTCCAATACAAATATCCCACAATCTAAGGTACGTGCAGCTCTGTTAAAGGCAATAAAAACCCACATAAAAGTACCTAATCTACTGCCATACACCCATGAAACAAGCAGATATCCAATATTCAAACAAATTCAAATAAACAGTGTCTGAAATTGAAAAAAGAAAACCTTTGCAGTTGTGCAGATTGAGGAGTCTCAAGCACTTAAACCCATCAGCAATAACACGCAGATCAGAGTCGGTGACACCGGGATAGAAGGACCTGGAAATGGACTGAGAGAGGTCGAGCTCCAGGACCCTGTAGAACCTGGCAGCCATTTTGAGAAGCATGTGAGGTCCCGCACGTGCGGAGAGCCTCTTCCTCTCCGTGCTCTGCAAGTGAAGCCACCGCTTGCAGACCAACCCGAAAGCCTCCTTGTCCCTCTGGCTCTCCAGCTTCGCTAGCACCGACCGGAGCTCGTCGTCCGTCAACGCCTCGTTGATACATACCATTATTGTTATTGACGGGGAATCGGTTGATGATGAAGAAGCCATTGATATTTGATAGTAAAGGAGGAAACCCTAACCCTGACCCCAATTGAGATTATAGATTTGGGGAGGGCTCAATCAGGATTAGGATTAGGGTTGGCATTCGGGAACGAGAGATGAGAGAGATTCAAAGGGGTAGCTACTAGCTAGGGGCTCGGGTGTCATTCTACATAATATCGTCTCCTTGTTTCTGGTTTGTTCCACTTGTACTCTTGACATTGTGTCAACTATACGTTATAAATTTGCATTATTTTCAGAATATAAATTTGAAAAATTTATATGGATACCAACTCCGAATAAAAAACATGAGTCAAATTATTATTTGTTCACCTCTGCTCCGACTGGAAAGAGGTATACAGTCACCAGGGTTGGTCCAAGTCATGAGCGAACATGGAATGGTGGTTAGAAAAAGAGCCCAAGTACAATATTTTCTACAGGTAATGTTTAATGTCCCCCCGTTTCAATGCGTATCAAAAGATCAAAACTGCCAAGTAACAATAATAATACGGATTGGCCCGATTGGGTGCAACTAACATCATCATTCATCATTTGGTAAAACTTGACAGTTGATCGATGAGAATAATCTGTTTGTATATGTTGTCTGTAACATGTGATGTGAAAACAAACAACGGAAAATGGATATGCTGTGTTGCATTCAACCACCTCTACACAAATGAATTAATTGGATATGCTGTGTAAATTTAAGCATAACAAAAAGAATTTTAGAATCATCTTCGGTGACTCCATGGTTTCGATCAATCAATGCGACTGTTTGCAACAAGGAAGCACGCAGTCCTCAAGAAACCCGGTTAGCTCACAAGTGTACAGTTTTGGGTCGTTTCTGAAATGATCAACGTGCGGCGTCGACACAAAGTTGCAAGCCCTAACCTCATGTCCCGCCCTCTTTTGCTCCTTTATGAATGATTCCACTGACCCTGCAGGAATCACCGTGTCTGCAGAGCTGTAGATATATAATTGCGGACAACTTGGTTGGCGAGCTGACAATAGGCTCAACACATCAGAAAGCCTCCTGCAATACCACCAATAACATTCATATTACTTTCCATACAAGGAGAGACCAACTCTTGCCAATGCTAATTTGACATTTGCTTTGACAATTGTTCTTCTAGGATTATAAAACACAGGTGAGGTGAATGAATTCAAGTATAAACGGAAATTTGTAGCATGGCAAGGTGCATGAAGATTCACATCCACCTCGAATAATTCTATGAAAATAAAAGGGCAAGGAAGAATAAGATAGACTACCTGTTCACTCTAGGAAATTTCAAAACCACCCCAAAGAACTTCTCCAAGACTACTAGCAAAGCTGCTTCGGTTACTGCAGGTTTGGGTGCCACTACTCCATTATTGCTGCCAACCAAAGCATCCATCCCTGACTCATTTGAGTCCATTGTTCCTTTTGCTGCTACACTACGCTTTTTCAGAAAGGCTGCAGAGAAACCAGAAGCCCAGACCTGCACAAGGTCAAGAATTAGATAGCACACCCATCCAAACACAAATCATCTAAGATTCTAAGAAAAACCTGGAACCCAGAAAAAACTAAAAAAACAGATCATTTGCATAACAAACCCAAACAGCTGTCTGAATGAGCCACACAAAACTCAAAAACCAATACGTTTTCTTCGGATATTCCTACAACAATTGGGCATGGTGGTAGGTAATAGGCTCTGCTGCTACAATTATATTGAGCAAAATGAAGTATTATATTGGTCAAATTCATAGAAACATGATCCACACTCTAAAAAATGACAGCAACAGGTTATCTCTGGTACCAAATGGAGTATGTGTAGATAACTTTTTATCTTTTCAATACGATCAGTAGATAACTTCTGCTCTTTCCCAGTTACAGAACTGCAACTATCGTTTACCTGGGGGTCAGGTGCTGCAACAGGTGCAGAATCCACAACGCAGCCCCGAATCCTGCCCATTAGAGAAGGATTGTGCTTCTGGAACTGCTCCAAAATTACCCCATACCTGTAAGATGAAGCAAACCAGGAAATGGTTACACAGGAGAACAGGAAAATTGCACATGGAGTTTCTATAAGAAAAAAGAATATAAGTGGGGACTGGACTCACGTTAACCATCCAGTATTGCTAAAAGTATGGAACACCAGGTTCTTTCCATGTTCCTCTTCTAACCAATCAGCCAAATGGCTCACAAGCGAGTCGATGTGCTCTTCAACTTTCCCGCCAGGTTGGTATTTGAGAATGTCAGACATGGGCAAAGTAAATGTAATAGCATGATATCCCCTGGAAGTATACCACTCGGCATACTTCTTGAGATGTTTTTGCTTTGCTCCCAACCATCCTAGCAAAACCACCACAGTCCTGAACTTTGCCGATGAGCAATCAGAACCGCCTGAAACATCTATGGCATTCGGTTCAGGTAAATGCCATCTGTACGAGACCTCAGATGGGGAAGTAGATGATATATCATGGTTATACGAAGCTGACTTTCGTGCTTTAACCAGGTCTGCGGACTGATACAGATTAAGAAGAAGAGGTGAAGATGCAACTGATGAATATAGCTGCTTGGGAACAAAATTGCAGCCCGTGTTAGGAATTGGGAAGTTAATGTTGGGCACAGGTACTGGAATTCTAGAGATAAAGGACAAGTTTGCGAGCTTAGAAACCAAAATATGTGAAACCCAGGATGAGTTCCAATCTTGCAAGGAGGTGTTGTGTGATAAACCCGATGTAGAACAAGCGTCATTGGATCGGTAAGACGGCAATTTATCAGAGATGTCAGCAGAAACCGAGGCAACAGCAACGGCAGCAGCCGCAACGAGAGGTCGTTGAACCATTCCAGACAAGGAAGCCATATTGTTGGTAAGGGCGCCCAAAATACTCATGCGAATATCAAGCAACCACCATTCAACATATGAAAAGGAAATGACAAGCAATCCAAGCGACCAGATTTCCCAGAAAGCCAACAATTTCAAGCAAGGGAATCACCTGCAGAGAAAATGAAAGAATGGGAATATGACGATAAATATAGACCACCAAGAAGAATAGTCAAGCACCAACAAAGAAGGAATTGGGATTGTATCAAATTGGAATAAGGGATTCAAACGAAGAAAGAAATAATAAAAATTGGAATCGGAATTTATAAGCGCATGAAAAACACGCAAGAATTAGAATTTAATAGTGGATAGAAAACTGAAAAGTGGGTTGGAGAGCGCATATTCGTTGATTGCCAAAAGAAATATTCTTACCGCGTTGCTTGGACTTGGACGTTTCTAACAAAAACAAACTCGGGTCGGGCTGTCAATGTCGTTTGACAGACAGCCCGATTATCACCACCACGCGCACCCGACACCGACCAACGAATAGCAATTTGCAAGAACCCTCCTCCTTGCCTGATCCTTCCCTTCTTCGTTTTCTTCGCTGGAGATTACCACAGCTTTCCTGGATTCTGATGTTTGTTTTTGCTTTTTAAAAGCATAGAAAATAAAAATCCAAGCTGGCGGTTAAAACACAAGGTCCAGTAGAACAGTGCCACGTTTAAAATAAAAAGAAAAGAAAAGTTAGAGATGGTAATGGGCTCATAGGGTAGGTAGGGAAAGGCAGGAGCTTCCGGCAATCTAGGACCGCGAGCTCATTGGCAATTTGGCACAGCAGAGAAAAAGACCGTTTTGCCCAATGGCCCTTTCATGTTTTTAAGAAATTTTCCTTGACATACATTCATCTTCATTTCATGAAAAGTCTTACATTGGAATCTTGTAACGATGAATTCAATTCCAAATTAAACTTCTTATTATGTGGCTTATTCCAACTCTTCCTTCTTTTAATGTAAAAATAAAATATCGATGTACTCAAAAACTAAAAATTCCTATATCTAAATGCGATGATTTAGAATTCAATTTAATTTAATTCGACGAAGAAAATAAATATTGTGAGAATGAATAAACAATTTTCGGAGAAAAAGTTGAGAGGAGGCAGACCTGACTGAAGAAATCAAACCAAGGAAGAGAATGAGGTGGTGAATGGCGAACGGCGAGGCCCCTCCCTCCCCTCCTCTTCCCTTCCGCCTCTTTTTCTTATCTCTCTCTCTCTGTTGCTGCGGTGCGGGGTTGGCTTTTCCCTTTCTCCTCCGTTGGTCCCCCCGCGTCTCTTTTGCTTTTTCTGTTGCTGCGGTGCGGTGCGGGATTGCCTTTTAGTTATATTAATCAATTAGACCCCAAAAAGATAAATCAATTTAGGATTGTTTATTTATAACCATAAGGAATTTATTTATGTGCTTAAATTAAGCTAGATATTTTCTATTTTTTCACACCTGAAAATTTATGAAATTCAAGACATGGGAATTATCAACCGCAACAATGGTTTAGTGGTATGTGCACAGACTGTAACTTCCCAATAAGTAAAAATGTAAGAGGTTTTAGGTTCGATGCTCCGAGCTAGTAAATTTGTTTGATTGTGGTAAAAAATAAGGTGAAATTCTCCATAACGTCGTTGATCCGAAATTAATAAATAACCATAACATACCACTATTTATCTCTTTTTTAAGCAGAAAATAAAAATATGAGAACCATCAAAAGAGTTTTTGCTTATTTGATATTTATGGGTCACTTGTACAATCAAATATTTGGCATAAGAGGATATTCCTGGAGAATATTCCCACTAACAAAGCGAAAGGGTCTGGAGAGTTGGATGGGAGGCCATCAATATTTTCCATACTGTTTACATAATAATTTGTTTCTTTTCTTTCTTATGCGGAGAATATTATCACTATGCCGCCGCAAATGCACGATGCGTCACTCAGCAGTCCATCCATTCTCATCCTCACATTTTTTTACACACACAACTATAATATGAGGGCCTCTATTAATTTATTTTTATTTTTCTTGTTAACCTTAAAAATTAATTTAAAAAATTAAAAAAAAAAAAAATTTATTTTTTTTACAAAAACGGTGATTTATAATGCACTTTTTCTAATTGAATTTGAGAATTTACACAAAACTTATTTTAAGTAAAATTCATGTTATTCTAGTCACACTGCATGTTTACTAAAATAAATTTAGGATATTCCAAATATATTCAACACGTAAAAATATATTTGGGACCCTCTATTAGTTTATATTTGTTTTTCTTTTCTTTTTTTTTCAATTTCAAAAATCAATAAAAAATAGTATTCGGACCTAATAAATAGTAGGATCACATTCACATGTCTTGCAACATTTTTCTTAACTCCCACGCAACATTTCAACTTAACACACGTTTTCTAGTCGATTTTGAGAATTTATACAAGATTCATTATAAGCTAAAATTCGAGTCATTCTAGTCGAACCGCATGTTTACTATAATTAATTTAGATTATTTCGAATATTTTCAATACAAAAAAAAAAAAAAAAAAAAAGTGTATAAAAGTTAATATTTATTTTTCTATTTTTCAACTTTAAAAATCAACAAAAAAATAGTTTGGGACCTAATAAATTGTAGAATCAAATTCAAATGTCTTCCAATATTTTTCTTAATTCCGGCGCAAACTATTTCCTAAACAAAAATCAATTTTTTGACAAAAAATGTGAGTAACTCACGTTTTCTAATCGATTTTGTAAATTATACAAGATTCATTATAAGTCAAAGTTCGAGCGATTCTAGTCCCAAAATGTTTACTAAAGATAATTTAGGATATTCCAAATATTATCAACACGTAAAAATATTTTTTGGGGCCCTCTATTAGTTTATATTAATTTTTCCCCTTTAAACCTTTAAAAATCAAGAAAAAAATAGTTTCAAGACCTAATAAATGGTAGGATCATATTCAAATGTCTTGCAACATTTTCCTTAACTCCCGCGCAAAATATTTCGTAAAACTAAAAATTTCAATTTTTTGGGCAAAATTGTGAGTTACGCATGTTTTCCAATTGATTTTGAGAATTTTTACAAGATTCGTTTTAAGCCAAAATGCGAGTCACTCTAGTCACACCGCATGTTTACTAAAATTAATTTAGGACACTACAAATATTTTCGACACATAAAAATATATTTTGAGTCCCCCTAATAGTTTATACTTATTTTTCTATTTTTCAACATTAACAATCAATAAAAAATAGTTTTGGGATCTAATAATTGGTAGAATCACGTTCAAATGTCTTGCAACATTTGTTGTCACATCCCGGCCCGAGGGGGACGACTTCCCGGGCCCGCTCCACCACCGTAGCACGATATTGTCCGCTTTGGGCTTACCATTCCCTCACGGTTTTGTTTTTGGGAACTCACGAGCAACTTCCCAGTGGGTCACCCATCATGGGATTGCTCTAGCCCTCTTCTCGCTTAACTTCGGAGTTCCTACAGAACCCGAAGCCAGTGAGCTCCCAAAAGGCCTCGTGCTAGGTAGGGATGGGAATATACATTTAAGGATCACTCCCCTGGGTGATGTGGGATGTCACATTTGTCTTAACTCCCACACAAAATATTACCTTAAAAAAATTTTCAATTTTTTGACAAAAATTGTTAGTTATATATATATAACTCACATTTTCCAATCGATTTTGTAACTTTATAGAAGGTTCATTATAAGCCAAAGTTCAAGTGATTCTAGTCGCATAATGTTTACTAAAGGTAATTTAGGATATTCCACATATTTTCAACACATAAAAATATATTTTGGGCCCTATCTTAGTTATATTAATTTTTATATTTTAAACCTTTAAAAATCAAGAAAAAATAGTTTCAGGACCTAATAAATGGTAGGATCACATTCAAATGTCTTGCAACAATTTCCTTAACTCCCGCACAAAATATTTCGTAAAACTAAAATTTTTAATTTTTTGGCCAAAATTGTGAGTTATAACCCACGTTTTCCAATTGATTTTGAGAATTTTTACAAGATTCATTTTAAGCCAAAATGCGAGTCACTATAGTTGCACCGCATGTTTAAAATTAATTTAGGACATTCCAAATATTTTCGACACATAAAAATATATTTTGAGAACCCCTAATTGTCACATCCCACCCCGGGCGGGACCCCTTCCCGGGCCCAACTCCACCATAGCACGATATTGTCCGCTTTGGGCCCCTAACACACGCTCACGGTTTTGTTAATGGGAACTCACACGAGAACTTCCCAGTGGGTCACCCATCATAGGAATGCTCTCACGCGCTACTCACTTAACTTCGGAGTTTCGATGGAACTCGAAGTTAGTGAGCTCCCAAAATGCCTCGTGTTAGGTAGGGATAAGAATATACATATAAGGATCACTCCCTGAGTGATGTGGGATGTTACAATCCACCTCCCTTAGGGGCCCGACGTCCTCATCAGCACACCACACCCAGGGTTAGGCTCTGATACCAAATTGTCACATCCCGCCCCGGGCGGGACCACTTCCCGTGCCCAACTCCACCATAGCACAATATTGTCCGTTTTGGGCCCCCAGCACACCCTCACGATTTTGTTTATGGGAACTTACATGAGAACTTCCCAATGGGTCACTCATTATGGGAGTGCTCTCGCGCGCTACTCGCTTAACTTCAGAGTTCTGATGGAATCCGAAGCCAGTGAGCTCCCAAAATGCCTCGTACTAGGTAAGGATGGGAATATACATATAAATTGTCACATCCTGCCCCCAGCGGGACCATTTCCCAGGCCCGACTCCACCGTAACACGATATTGTCCGCTTTGGACACCAACCACGCCCTCACGGTTTTGTTTCTGGGAACTCACACGAGAACTTCCCGATGGGTCACCCATCCTAGGAATGCTATCGCGCGCTACTCGCTTAACTTCGGAGTTTCGATGGAATCTGAAGCCAGTGAGCTCCCCAAAAGGTCTCGTGATAGGTAGGGATGGGAATATACATATAAGGATCACTCCCCTGGGCGATGTGGGATCTTACAATCCACCCCCCTTAGGGGCCTGACGTCTTCGTCGGCACACCACGGCTAGGGTTAGGCTCTGATACCAAATTGTCACATCCCGCCCCCGACTCCACCGTAGCACGATATTGTTCGCTTTGGGCCCCAACCACGCCCTCACGGTTTTGTTTCTGGGAACTCACACAAGAGATTTCCTGATGGGTCACCTATCCTGGGAATACTCTCACGCGCTACTCGCTTAACTTCGGAGTTCTGAGGGAACCCGAAGCCAGTGAGTTCCCAAAAGACCTTATGCTAGGTAGGGATGAGAATATACATATAAGGATCACTCCCAGGGGGAATGTGGGATCTTACAATCCCCTTGGGCGATGTGGGATGTTACACTAATAGTTTATATTTATTTTTCTATTTTACAACTTTAAAAATCAATAAAAAATAGTTCCGGGACCTAATAATTGGTACGATCACATTCAAATGTCTAGCAATATTTTTCTTAACTCTCATGCAAAATATTTCCTAAAACTAAAAATAACCCACGTTTTTCAATCGATTTTTGAATTTATACAAGATTCATTATAAGTTAAAGTTTGAGTGATTCTAGTCGCATAATGTTTACTAAAGATAATTTAGGATATTCCAAATATTTTCAATACGTAGAAATATATTTTGGGGCCCTCTATTAGTTTATATTAAGGGGTGTGATATCCAAACACCCCATATTACTTCTCACACACCTTTTTAATTTTCGATCGTCGAATCGGATAAATTGAAGAAGATCTATTAATTTTTCTATTTTAAAATGGGGTGTGTGAGAAGTAAAATGGGGTGTGTGGATATCACACACATATATTAATTTTTCTATTTTAAACCTTTAAAAATCAAGAAAAAATAGTTTCAGGACCTAATAAATGGTAGGATCATATTCAAATGTCTTGCAACATTTTCCTTTACTCCCTTGCAAAATATTTCGTAAAACTAAAAATTTCAATTTTTTGGCCAAAATTGCAAAATTGTGAGTTATAACCCATGCTTTCCAATTGATTTTGAGAATTTTTACAAGATTCATTTTAAGCCAAAATGCGATGTCTT